GGAGAGGAGAGGGGCCGGGAAGTTTGCAGGGTCCCGGGCTCCCGTTTCCCTGCGCTGCTCCAGCGGTGGAAGTGACTGGGATGGGATCCCCGCACTGGAAACGACTCTGCTTTTTGCTCCTGGCGGGGTTAACGTCTTCCCTGCTCCTCTACAGCCACTACTACACCACGGTGGAGTCACCCACCAGCCAGAGGGTCATAGCCAGGTAAGGAGGGGGGGGACACGGGGAGAGGCAGGGATGTGCAAATCCAGTGTGAGTTACCGAGCACTGGGATGGGGAGGGGGAATTGGGGTGCCGGTGTGGACCCTTTAGTGCAGGATATCCCAGCTGTGCCCCCCGGTGTTGGTTGGTTGGAGTTTTTTTTTTTTTTCTCAGCGAGTCTGAACCAGTCAGCCTGGTGCCTCCTCCTCCTCCTCCTCCCCCCGGCTCACACCCTCCCTCCCACCGCTCCCGAGGAAATGCTTCATTTGAATTTCCCTTAAAACCCCCCAAACACGTTTTTCCTTACCCCCAAGTCCACCACACCCCCCCCTCCCCAGCCCAAACCATTTGTTGAACTCGACACAAAGCCCCAAAGGGTTTTGTTTGCTGCAAAAACCACGTTGTTTTTTGGGGGGAGCGATGTCTTCGGGCAGGAAGCGGGCAGGAACCCGGAGGTTGCACCCCAAAGCTGTGTCGTCGTCCCCCCCCCCCTTTTCCTCTCTTTTTACACCAGATTTGCTCCCGGGGGGGGGCGGGTTTGCCCTTGCTCCGTGTGGGTACGTGCATTATCGGGCACCCCAAGGGCAGGAGCTTCACCCCGGAGCCTGGAGTTTCTGATAAACTTCTAATAAACAGTAATTGGCCAAGGGAGCCTGCCCCGTGGGGTCGGGGGTGTCGGCGTGGTCTGTGGGGGGTGAAACACCCGGTGGTGAAAGGGTGCCGGTGTGGACCCTTTAGTGCAGGATATCCCAGCTGTGCCCCCCGGTGTTGGTTGGTTGGAGAAATGTGCTTGCAGCGGGCTCTGTCGCCCCGTGTCCCCCCCAAGAGGGGGTGGGAGGCAGGGATGTGCAAATCCAGCGTGAGTTACCGTGCACTGGGATGGGGAGGGGGAATTGGGGTGCTGGTGTGGACCCTTTAGTGCAGGATATCCCAGCTGTGCCCCCCGGTGTTGGTTGGTTGGAGAAATGTGCTTGCAGCGGGCTCTGTCGCCCCGTGTCCCCCCCAACCCAAGGTGTCCTGGCCACCGGGTGCTGCCCACGGCCACCAGCTGAGCCCAGGGGTGCTCAGAGTGGGACCCCAGGGCCGTGGGGGGGCTGTAGGGGTCCCCGTGGGGGTTCAGACCATTGCTGGGTCCAGGGAGGGCTGAGGGTGCTCAGCCCCCGGCAGGATCAAACTCCCTTCAGCGACCAGACCTTCCATGAGTCCCCCGTGTCCCCGCTGGGCTGGGTGAGCGTTGGAGCTGCCTGGTTGTCCTGGGTGGAGGTTTGTCCCCCCCATGGAGCTGCACTGATCCCCCCTACACACTACAGGGATAGGACATGGCTGCCCCCCTGAGAGGGGGATCCCCAGGGCTGTGTAATCCCCCTCCGCTTCCAAACTCCCAGGGGCTGCAGCATTTCCCAAACTCCAGCAATTTGCATCTCCCCCTCTGTGCTCCCATCTGCCTTCCCTGCATCCTCCAACCTCCCCAAGCTCTTCCTGAGTCTCTCCAGCAGCAGGCAAGGGGTTCTGGGGTGACCCCGGGAGCCCTGGGGACCGCGGCTGAGCGGGCAGGGTGTGAGGGAGCCTCCTCTCCTCTGAGGATCAGGAGTGTCCCACGGGTGTCCCTGTCCTCCACGTGGGGTGCTCCTGGGTGCCATCCGTGTGACAGAGCCCAGCTGCCCAGGAATGGAGGATGCTGTGGGGACCAGAGCTGGTCCTGCACGGGGTGATCTGAGCGCAGCCAGATTTACACTGGGAGTTGCTGGAGATGCAGCTCCCTGGGCTCCAGGTGCTCTCTCGTCCCCAGCTGGGAGCTGGGGGCTCCCCTTGCCCCCTCCTGTCCTGCCCAAGGCAAAGATGGAGCAGGAATATCCCCAGCAGCCGGGGCGGAGGTTGGCTGGACTAGCTCCCTACAAAGAGTTTGATGTCCATGAGAGGGGAAACTGAGGCCCACGGGGGCACTGGGACGTGCCCAAGGACCACACTGGAGCTGGGAATGGAAACCAGCCCTGGCACAAGGTCCACGGCACATCCTAGGAGTGGGGTGTGGAGGAGACCCATGGAATGGGAGGTGGAAGCAGGTTCTTCCCACCACCAAGCCAGTTAGGCTCCCCACCTAACCCTGCCTGGACTTGCCCCAGCCCCGGGTCCCCCCACCACAGAGCCAGCCCAGGCTCCTGCCCCACAACCAATGGGTCCAAGGGTCCCATCCTTTCATCCAGCCCCACAGAAGAGCCCAGGGCAAGGTAACAGGGAGCTGAGCTGTGCTCCAAAGCTCTCCTGGGCTTCTCCTCTTGGCTTTAAGCCAACCACTGAAGCCAGACCCAAACCAGAGTGTGTCCTGCTCGCTCCCATTCCCCGTGTTTACAAACACGCTGCCCCATGGTTGTGGCTTGTCCAGCCCGAACTGTGCACCCGGAGGGATCGGCGCTGCCCAGGGAAGTGGTTGAGGCACCATCCCTGGAGGTGTTCGAAAGACGGGTTGACATGGTCCTCGGGAATATGGTTTAGTGACTTTTTTTTTTTATTTATTACTTATTTCTTATTTATTTTTTTGTCAGAGTTAGGTTGATGGTTGGACTAGATGATCAGACATTGGAATGGGCTGCCCAGGGAGGTGGTTGAGGCACCATCCCTGGAGGTGTTCAAAAGCCGGGTTGATGTAGTGCTGGGAGGTATGGTTTAGTGATGGTGTTGCTTCTTGTTTGTTGTGTGGGTGTCTGTTTTTGTCAGAGTTAGGTTGATGGTTGGACAAGATGATCTTTAAGGTCCCTTCCAACCTAGAAGATTCTGTGATTCTATGCCCTGCTCTGGAGGTGAAGCCAGGACAGCCTTGAATGGCTGATGTGCCCTCACAGCTCCCGCTCTGCCCACCCCCGGGGCAGAAAGAGGGGGGGTCAGGGGTGCCCACACGTCGGTGCAGGCAGTCCCATTTCAGCAGGGGTGTGTGTGTGTGCATGCAGCGTGTGTGCATGCAGCTTGTCTCCATGCAGACTTACGGGGGGATGAAGGGGGCCTGGAGAAAGCTGACCCCCCCCACACCCCGACTAATGCTTGCTGCTACCAGCACCAAATCACCTGAGGGCTAGATAAAGTCACAGAATAGTTTGGGCTGGAAAGGACTTTTAAAAGTCATCTAGTCCAACCTCCCTGCCCTGGGCAGGGACACCTCCCAACACAAGGTTGCTCAAAGTCCCCTCCAACCTGCCCTTGAACCCCTCCAGGGATGGGGCAGCCACAGCTTCTCTGGGCAACCTGGGCCAGGCTCTCACCACCCTCACAGTAAAGAATTTCTTTCTTATATCTAGTTTAAATCTTCCCTTTTTTAATTTAAAGCCATTACCTCTTGTCCTTTCACAACAGGCCCTGCTAAAACGTTTGTCCCCATGTTTTTTATAACCCCCCTTTAAGTATTGAAAGGCCACAATAAGGTCTCCCCGGAGCCTTCTCTTCTCCAGGCTGAACCCCAACTCTCGGCCTGTCCTCACAGCAGGGGGGCTCCAGCCCTCAGAGCATCTTCGTGGTCTCCTCTGGACCCACTCCAACAGGTCCATGTCCTTCTGATGGAGGCAGCACTGCAGGGGGTCTCATCAGAGCAGAGCAGGGGGGCAGAATCCCCACACTGCTTTTGATGCAAAGATACCCAATGCCAAGTCCTCTTCCAGTTCAGCTCAAAGCTGGTGGCCGAAGTGGGGACTCTATGGTGATGGGTGAAATGCCCCTGTCCCCACAGATCTAGCCACTCTGTGGCCAGTGGTGCTGCAAGGAACCAAGTCCTGAGAGCCCCCAGGTTGGGCTGGGCACAGCCCCATCCTGCTCCTTGCCTATCCATCCCTCTGAATCCCCGCCAGCGAGCTGCTGGGACTGCTCCTGCCTTTTTTATTAGGGCAGATGGGATGAGCACGGAGCCGTGCCCAGCCTCACCGTGCCGCTCTGGCTCTGTGCTGGGGGGGAGATGCTCCCTGGACCTCAGCCCTTCGTGGTGGGATGGAGCAAACGGCTCCCGAGAGCGTGTTCACGTTGCTGCTTCGGCTCCTTCAAATGGCTCTGCAGGGCCCTGGGAGTGTTTGCGGGAGATAAGGCTGGAGTGTGTGCTCCCAACACTCATAAACGGTGTTATCTTCCGGAAACGGGAGGAGGCCATGGACCAGAGACGTCATATTTGTGAATGCCACGGCAGTGAGAGAACGTAGCCAGGCTTGGCTGGCCCCGCTGCTGTGGCCAGTGCCCGCGCAGCCACGGGCCACTCCTTCCCCGGAGCCCCATTGTGCATCAGCCGGTCCTGGGGAGGGTTGTCATCTTCTGAGTCAACCAAGCATCACGAGGTGCTTCGCCACATCCTGGCGGGTGACGTCAAAGCGTTCGGCTCCCTGACGTGCATCTAAGCAGCTGTGGGGCTGGGGTTGGGGGGGTAAGGGGGGAGCAGCCACCCCACACCCTCCCCGGCAGGGTTTTGGGCAACGGGCACAGCGATGCTGGGGAGGTGGCTGGGATGCAGGAGCAGGGAGGTGCTGACGCACAGATTTGGCTTGATCAGGTCAACACAAGCCCTGGGGATGAGCAAGCGCCACACACCGTGTCTGGGCACAGCTGGGTCCTGGTGCCAACTGAATGTCAGCAAGAACCAACCTGCTGGGCTACCTGTGGCCACCTCCCTCCAGCCCCCCTGAGCCCCCCGCCTTGTCCCAGGTGCATCCCTGGCAGTTGGGGAAGGAGCACAGCACCCTCCTGCTGCTAGTGCCAGGGACTTTGCCCTGTCCTGCAGGCACTGGGACAAGCTGGGGAGGGGAAAGGGATGGGTTTGTACCAAGAAACAAGGGTGGGAGAGCTTGGAGGGCTGGGTGGCCAAGAGATGTGCAGCTGGGGCTCGTGAGCCTGATGGTCAGGGGATTGCTGAGGAGGCAGCAGGGCTGGGAGAGGCTGTTTGTGTGTGGAGCCTGGGTATGGAGTGAGAAGGTAATGGCTTTTGGGGTTTGGTGGTGGATTGCACCTCCATGGCCAGAAAAAGGGTGGGTGGCCAAACCAGGGGCTTTGGGTGCAGGGGGTGTGTGCAGCTCCAGGGAGCTCAGTGCTTTGCAGGAGCTGGTTCTGGCTCTGGGTTTGGAGCAGGGGGGTTTCATCAGTCCCTGGTCTGTCGTTCAGGTGCTGGTAGCATTGATGAGCTCCTGCCTGCGAGGCACGTGGGCTGGGTGGAGATCTCCTGGGTCGTGAGATGGAGGAAGCAGCAGGGCTGGGGGCGAGCTCAGCTAAGTTAGAGTCCAGAGCTCTCCTCGTAGCTGCTGTGAGACCCTTGAGAGGTGAGCTCTGCTCTGACTGACATGTGCTGCCTGTACCAGCAGAGATGGGCTGGAAGAGCAGCCTCCAGCCTATCCACGAGGTCTTGTACAGCCTTTGGATAGCCTTTCCCAGCCGGAGTCTCTGCACATGGCTGCACATGGATCCTCCCATCCATGAGCCAAGGGAACAGGCAAGTTGGGTCAGGCTGGGTTTATTTAGATGCTCACGGTGGTGACACCAGAGAGGCCCTGCAGAAAGCTGCAGCTCCAGCATCTCCCTGGGATGGCTCGGTCCCACCTTGGTGGACTCTCATGGAGATTTGCCCTACCTCCTCTTGCTGGCTCTGGTGCTCCCGGGATGAGCGCATCTCCCTGGGATGGGTCGGTCCCACCTTGGTGGACTCTCATGGAGATTTGCCCTACCTCCTCTCGCCGGCTCTGGTGCTCCTGGGATGAGCTGGTGGCTGCAAGGGGAGGTGACACCAGCAGGTTGCCCGACCCCTCTCCCTACCTCTGGGGCCAGCCCCACAGCCAGCACTCCTGTGTGCAGCAGGATGGCTCATTGCATGTGTTTGAAGGGCAGGATGGATGTGGCCACGGGGCAGGGCTGGAGCGTGTGTGTTTTAGGTGGTGGGGGCTCTGCAGGGCAGCAGCTCTTCTGAGGAGCTGCCTTTTTATGGGACACCGAGGCAAGATGGGCTGGCTAAAAAGCTGCCCTGCTCCACTGGTGGTGCTTGGGGAGGGATGGGGGGCACCTTCACCCTCAACACCCCCTGCCCAGAGCTGACAGTGCTGGGATGGGGCAAAGAAGGAGGGTACACCACTCTGTGTCCTTCCCAAGCCCAGCCCCATCCCCCTTGGGCTCAGGAAGGGTACAGAATGGTGAGAAGAGCTGGGGAGGTCTCAGCAGGGTCACCCTGAGGCTGTGCTGGGTGCAGTTTTTGGTACGTGGGGGGTCCTGGAGATGCGACCACCAGGAGACGGTGGCTGCTTTTTGCATAAAGCAGAGCTGAAGCCTGTGTGGCCCCAGCTCTTTGTCCAGGGAGGTGCTCAAGCCCCAGTGCCAGCCCCAGGCAAGGTGTTGGGCTGTTCTGCCACGTCTGTGGTGGCACGGAGCGGGGTCTGGGTGGCCAAACAGGTCTGGATCCTCACCCAGGCAGGGCTGTGGGCGCTGCTGGTGTTGACAGGGACCGCGGTGGGGATGGAAACCCAATGCCCACTGCTTGGGGGGGGGGAGGCAGAGCTCCGCTCCCCACCTGCCTCTACCTGTCCCCAGGCTCCCGAGCAGAGATCCCGTAACAAGGGGGCCCTTGTCTCCTCCACAATACCCCCCTTCTGGCCGGAGCACCTGCCGGCTGGGCTGGAGGCGGCGCCGGGGGGGGGGCTCTGAAGGGCCCTTCTGTGCAGGGATGAATGGGAGCCTGTTCCCCTCCGGTGGGCTCCCACCTCCTGCTCGCCAGGGCTGTGACCCTGGCCCCCAGCCCCACATCCTCCCTCCAGAGTCTGCTCTGCCTCACCCCGTGGGGCTCAGGGCACCCCGTGGATGCTCAGGGTGGGAAGCTCTCTGTGTCTGTCCCCCAGTGCTAAATGAAGGGTCAGGGCATGCCCCAGCTGGCCCCAGGGCAGAGGGGCCAGTCCTGTAGACCCCAAGAGCCTCAAGATCTCTGCTGCCAGTTGCTTCTCCACTGGAGCAACTAAATCTGTCGGGCTGGCCAGCCCAGCTCTTCCCAGCCCCATCCCCCTCAGGCTCGGGAAGGATATAGAATGGTGAGAAGAGCTGGGGAGGTCTCAGCAGGGTCCCCCCAAGGCTGGGCTGGGTGCAGTTTTTGGTACATGGGGGTCCTGGAGGTGCGACCACCAGGAGACGGTGGCTGCTTTTTGCATAAACTCTGTATTTTGGAAGTCTGTGGCCCTTCACTTGCAGAAACACGTGCAGGTGGGGGGGGGTGGGTGCTCAGAGGGGAGCCGAGTGGAGGTGACACGTTCCTGCTGCGTGGCTCTCGCAGGTGGGGGAGATGTGTCCTTCCCGAGCCCAGCCCCATCACCCTTGGGCTCGGGAAGGGTACAGAATGGTGAGAAGAGCTGGGGAGGTCTCAGCAGGGTCCCCCCGAGGCTGGGCTGGGTGCTGTGGCTCAGTGTCACCTCCCCAGCTGACCCCCCACTGGCTTCTTCTCCCAGTCTGCTGCAGCCAGAGCCACTGGTCCTGGCTCCGCCGGGGACATCGCGCCGAGCTGGCGGCCGCAGATGGAACCTTGGAGGTGGCTTGGAGAGGTAAGGGGGAAGGTGGCACGAGCTGGGAGCCCCCTGCCCACTGTGGGGTTCCCCAGTGCCCAAGGGATGGATTTTTAACTCTGCTATATGTTTCCCCCTTTCCAGTGGGAAGTCCTTCAAGCCTTCTGCTGAGCTGGAGGAGCCCAAGCCCAGCAAAAAGCAGGTAATGATTAGCACAGTGCCATCAGTGTCCCCAGTCCCCCTCTTTGCTGGGATTTGTTGGGTGAAGTTCTGTGTGGGGAAGCTGAGGAGGAGCAGCAGCATCTAGAAGGGGGTTTGTGTGCGTGTGCAGAGGAGCAACCTCCTCTGTCCGTACAACATGGGTCTCCCCAGGCCACCCTGCTGTGGTTGCAGCCCCTCCCTGAGCAATTCCCCAATGGAGAGGCTGGAACCAGCTCCCTCCAATTCCTAACTCCGTAACACCTGGGCCACCAGCCCGGGCTGGGGACTCATGAGCACCAACCCAGGCTCTGGGAGGGACCAGTCCTGGGCACTGGGGCTGTTCTTGTACAGCAGAAGCCTTTTGTGGGGTGCCCACACTAGATGGTGCTGAATCTTTCATGGGATTAATGCTCTCGGGTGACTCTAAGCCCTGGTCCTCCCAGCTGGGTACCAAAGGGTGTTTTGCAGCAGGAAACCGAGGCATGAGGCAGTGCCCTGCCTGGGGGATGCAGCAGAACATGTGGTGGACAAGGAGCATTTCTGTCCCTGGGTTTGTCCTCTCCTCGGTGCCTGCTGAGGGGTGGAGATGTCGGACAGAAGGTAGACCTAGGCTGGAGACTCAACTGAGGTCCTCCTCCCTCTCAGCCAAGCAGGTGTCCCCGCTCAGTGGTGGCCAGAGCAAAGGCAGACCCCACGTTTGGGGAGATCTTCCGCTTTGACACCCCCGTGCTGATGTGGGACCAGCACTTCACCCCAGAGACCTGGGACAGGCTGAAGACACGACACGTCCCCTACGGCTGGCAGGGCTTGTCCCACACAGGTATGGACCCAACCGGGATGGGGGTGGCAGGAGATAGGGTGGGGGGTGATGGGAGGGTGTGGAGATGTGGGGCAGGCAGAGGAGCCCAGCAGAGGACCAGGGACCTTGATCTCTTCCCACGCTGCCTCCCAGGGCGCGGGGCGGAAGGGACAGCTTTGCAAACACTGTTTGCTGCATCTTGTGACATTTTCCCCGAATAAAAGCCCCAGTGTGTGCGTGATTATTAACTGGGACCAGAGGGGCTCGGACAACCCGCTCCATTGTTGTGGCTGGAGATTGTTTCCCTTCCCACCCCAAACCCACTCTCTGCTCTCTGACAGCCGCCGGCTTCAGTCCCTGGGCTGGGAAGTGCTGGGGACGGCAGGGGTTGGGGGGCAGAGCTGGTGGCATTTGCAAGGAGACATTGTCAGGAGGGGACATGGCGACTGCGGGCTGCAGCACCCACAGGGTTGGGGCTGGTGATGGTCGGACGCGTCCCCCGTGCCTTGCACGGCCTCAGGTGGCCACTGTTTGGAGCAGGCTTAGGAAAGTGGGGGCTGTGAGGGGGGGACACCAAGCTTGGGAGAGATGGGGCTGGCTGGTGTCCCCCCATCCCACCTGTAGACTCCTCTCCTACACAAGGATGGTGTGAGCTCTCTCATGTGCTGCTCCTGGATGTGCTCTTGTGCAAGCTTGTCCGTGGATGCTGTTGCACACTTAAGCGTGCAAGTGCTCGTGTGGGCTGACACCTTTTCCCCTAAGCGTGCAAGTGCTCGTGTGGGCTGACACACACCTTTTCCCTGCTGACTGGTCCCATCCTGCTCCGTTCCAGTGGTGGGCAGCACCCTCCAGCTCCTCAACGCCTCCGCCAACAGGCACCTCTTCGACCGGGACGCCTTCCCCGGGGGCTGCGTCCGCTGCGCCGTGGTGGGCAACGGTGGCATCCTCAACGGCTCACGGCAGGGCAAGGCCATCGACGCACACGACCTGGTCTTCAGGTGGGGATGAGTCCTGGGCAGGATGGGGCCATGGGTGGTGGGGAGAGGCCAGCCCTGGACACACGTCCTGCCATTTTCCCCACAGGATCAACGGTGCCGTGATCAAAGGCTTCGAGGAGGACGTCGGGACCAAGATCTCCTTCTACGGCTTCACGGTGAACACCATGAAGAACTCCCTCATTGCCTACGAGGAGTATGGCTTCACCCAGATACCCCAGGCCAAGGTGAGACCCCCAAGGGCTTGTTGGGGAGGTGACCCCAAATTGTCACCTGAGGCTAGGCTTCCCCCCCAAACCTTCTCCTCATCTCAGGAGCCCTCATTCCTTGCCCTGCTGGTGTGGGCAGTGCCCCAAAGCCCCCACAAGTCCCACATCTATGTCCCCACTGCAGGACCTGAGGTACATCTTCATCCCCTCGGACATCCGTGACTACATGATGCTGAAGTCGGCCATCCAGGGCAGCCCAGTCCCCGAGGGCTCGGACAAGGGGGACAAGTGAGTAACCCCCCAAGATCTCCCCAGCATCTTCGGTGTCTCACTGGAGGGAGCATGACTTGTGAATTCTGCCCTTCTCTTCACCCCACTACAGGCCACAGAAGTATTTTGGACCAGAGGCATCTGCAGAGAAGTTCAAGCTGCTGCACCCTGATTTCTTGCAGTACCTGACAGCGAGGTGAGGATGATGAGGACCACGGCTGCTGTTTGGCTCTGCTCTGGGCTGGGCACAGACCGCCTGCCCCCCGCCACTGCTCTCTTGGTGCCTGCCCAGCATCAAAGCGTGGTCCCAGTCCTCCCTGGGCACTGGAACCACCTCTGTCCTGCTCTCTGCAGAGAGATTTGTCCCCCGCCATTCCCATTCATGGCAGCACAGCTCATGTCCCCTCCTGGCACAGCCTCACCTTTCTCACCTCGCCCCCCATGTCCCACAACAAATTAATTTTTGACCTAGTCTAACAGGAGCAGAGATGGGGCCCAAAGGGATTGTCATTTCCTACCTTTCACAGAAGCAGGTGGGTGGGTTGGGGGGGGAGGGGGGAGGATTTTTAAACAGCAGGCGGGTGCCGTTCAGCAACCTGCAGCCAACGAGCTGAACCTTAGTAGCAGCCATCAGAGAATCCACACTTTGCTTGGTGCTCCTGCCTTACTGAGCGCAGGGTGGGGGCTGGATGGGTGCTGGGGGCCACAGTGCTGTGCCAGCCGTGAGCCCCCCCCCAAAACTGGCCGTGTCCCCTGGCAGGTTCCTGCGGTCGGAGCTCCTGAACACGCAGTACGGGTCGCTCTACATGCCCAGCACCGGCGCCCTCATGCTCCTCACCGCGCTCCACACCTGCGACCAGGTAAGAGGCCACCTTCCCCCTGTGGACCCCCCCTTTAGCTGCTGGTAAGAGGCCATGGGGTCATCTTCCTCTTGGAAAACCCCCCCCCTTTAGCTGCTGGATCCTGATAGGGACCAACATGTCGTGGTGGCTGTCCTACATCTGCCACCCCCCTGTCCCTGGAGGGTGGTGGTAGTGAATGGACCACCTGAGGTGGAGCCCTGACCCTGTCTGTCTGTCCCACCTCCCTCCCTGCAGGTCAGTGCCTATGGGTTCATCACCTCCAACTACGAGCAGTTCTCAGACCACTACTATGAGCTGGAGAAGAAGCCGCTGGTGTTTTACGCCAACCACGACATGATGCTGGAGGCAGCGCTGTGGAGGAGACTGCACCGAGCAGGGATCATCACCCTCTACCAGCGGTGAGGCTGCCCAGTCGCCCACCGGGGCAAGTCCAAGGACTCCTGTGGCTCTTCTCCTCTTTCCTGAAGGCCACCACCTCCCTCGTTGAGGGATCTCCCCAACTGGCCAACCAGCCCAAGGAGCAGGCCCTCCACACCGCAGCCGGTGTGATGGTCAGGGGCAAGCTGAAGCTGGTAGAGAAATGTTGCATTTCCTCGGGGATCTCCAGCAACATTTCATGGCTCGATGTGATTGAACGTGGCCTTTTGGGTGCCAAGAAGCACCGAGACACGTGGCTGTGACCTCTCAGCCCCACAAACACAGCTGGGAAGCACAGAAGGAGCTGGAAGAGGGTGCTGGAGGTGTGTGTGGGGCAGCCTCTGGCTGGAAGAACGCCCTTCACCTTGCCATTATGCCCCAGCTCAAATGTTCATCGCCGTGGTGGGACCAGAATAAGCATGAGGAATCCTTGCACTGGAGACTGGATTGTCTTGCTAACAGGAAGGTGGTGTGTTTGGAGAACATCTTCCTCCCCGCCCGCAGAAAGCCTGAACTCTGGCCAGGTTGACATGTGCCACTTTCCAGAAGGATCTGGTTGTCTCCATGATTGGTGAGAGACAGCGGCCCAGCTGCCCTCTCCTGTGACAGACAGAGTGTGTCCTGTCATCTTCCCCTTCCTAGGACGTGGTGTTTTCAAACAAGGAAGAGTTTAAAGCCAACAGCAGAGAGTAAGGATACTGCAGCTCAGCTGGGCCACCAGAAACGTGGCTGGTCCTCAAGCAGCCTGGAGATGTACCCCTGTGGTACTGGATCTGTTGGGCTTTTCATGCACAGGATCCATGTGGTGCCCTCAATGTGCTCTGAGAAGGCAGCCCCGAGCCAGGTGGGTCGGGAGACCTGCTAGCTCGTTGGGCAGGGTTAAGTGACCATCATTCTTAATTATTTTTCCCAAAAAAACTCCCGAAGGAGGTGAAGTTCTTGCACCCTTCAGCCACCCTGGATAAGCCAGCGCTGCTGAGGCTACTCCAGCTGGTGGTGGCCGGGGCGTTGACATGGGCACAGCAGTGGGAGCTGTGTCACCTGAGACACTTCCCCCCTTTGTGTAATTACATAAATGTTGAATGATGATTTTTTTAATGCCTGTTCCTGTCGTTTCACTGAAAGGGCTGGGGGTGAGACCCCAACCCCAGCTTCCTGCAGCAGAGGAGCTGTAGTAGCACGGAGCAGTGAACCCTGGACTGGAGAAGGGGAAGGTGGTGTGAGAGGGGAAGGGTTAAAGGGTGGAGAGGGGCTGGCAGGGGGGCAGGCACCCTGCTGGAGCTCTGGGAGCAGTGATTTACTGGGAGAGACAGCCTGGCCCTCAACCAGGGAACCTCAAACCCCCTCCAACTGCTTCCAGCCAGTTCAAGTGAGCATTACTGAAGATTAGCCTCTAAGTTTTAGATGTAATCTCCAGGTTGGAGTTCCCAGGTCTCAAATTAACCTTTGTTCACATCACAGCCACCTTACAATGGTACCAAGGCAGCCTGTTAGGCCTGTTTTTTTTATCTCAGGAACACTCAGCAAAACCTCTTTTATGACAAGAACGAGCCTGATCCTCCAGTCACCCGACCCAGACAGCACCAAAACCTCCTCAAACCAGCTGGGGCACAGTCCCTTGCAGGTGCCTTTGAACCCTTGCAGGTGACTTTGAAGGTGGCCATGGGCAGCACCTCGATGCAGAGGGCAAAATGAACAGGTCTGGAAAAAAAGCACAGCATCCTGCCAGGAACCCCGTCCAGCCCGTGGGCAGAGCTGTTTGCACACACGAGGAACCGCAACGTCCACCCTCCTTTCCCTTTTCAAAAAGGGAGGTTTTTCCAGCCAAGGGTGTAGCCCAGCCCCGGAGTTAAACATACTCCTTTTCAAGCACTTACCACACAAAGAACCTGCTGCCTCTCACTTCTTCCCACTCTCAGCTTCCACACACACCACTAGAGCCATTTCTGTCACCAGTCCTGGCTCACCCATCACTAGTTTTGTCACGCTGTTATCACAAATTGCTTGTCCTCAACTTTCAGTGTCTGCAGACACTCAAGTCTTTAGGTATCGGGGAGCAGCAGGTTTTGCTGTGAAGGGTAAGCCCACAACTGCTTGAATTTCAGAAAGCATTTTAACCCCAAATCCTTTCTACCTGCTCAAATAGACAACCTTTACCAAAAAACCACACCAACACCACAAAAAACCCAACTTCAGCTCCCAAGATTTCCCATAACTTATTTTATTCTGGAACAGAAGAACGCAGGGAACCACTTTTTCCTCCAGCCAGCTGTAGATCAGGTCCTAGTGGAAAAAAGGTAAGTGTCAGAGCAAAGCAGCTGTCACCTGGAAAGCTCCTGGTTTGCACTATTTTGTGGAGAGTACAGGTCTCAGGAAACAAACACTTGCTCCCTCCCAAGCCAATGGCACCAGTACCCAAATCCTCTTGCTCCCTCCCAGGCCAATGGCACCAGTACCCAAATCCTCTCTGGCTTTACTGGGAACTCACCCAGGATGTGGTTGCAGCAGCCCCTGAGCAGCGAGGAGCCCACAGTCCCACGCAGGTGGCTGTTTTACACCCTTCTGAATGACATCTCGGTGGCCACTTGCGAGACCCACTCCAGAACAACCTTCCCTCTGCTGCTTCTAGAGCTGGGAGACACCACAAAGCAATGCTGTAAGCACTTTCCTAAAGTTAAATCTGAAACAATTCCTGCCCCTCTCCATTCTTAAAGCCCCGAGTAGCTTTTACTTTCTCTATTTGTCACCAGGCCACCCCTTCACTTTTTTTCCCCTTATTCCTTGGAAGCCAGAAGCCCCACGTGCTCTTCCCAGTGACTGGTCCCGCTTGGAACACAGCCCTATTGACAGAGCAACCACTTGACTACTGGTTTGTAGCACCATTCCCTCCCCTTTTGCACACCAACCTTGATTTCTTAAGGAAGTCCACGCTCATCAAGTTTGCCAGCTCAGCCTGTCAGCCAACGTTATTGATCTTCTGCAAACAAATACAAATTCTGTTAAATAAAGCGTGAAATGATTTAGCAGAATGCAGCTGTCAGCTCCCCGGAGACAAAGTGCCGTTCCAGCGTGTGTATTCAGTGACTGTACATCAAGTGAGATAAAAACACATTTCTTATCTGCCCTTTAACCCGCCGCTGTGCCTCACTGTTTGGATACACAACTTAAAAGCTCTTCAGGGATCCAAACTTTGCTATGGCAACGGCGGCCGGCGCGTTACTCCCTGCACAGAGCCGGGCTGGATCTGGGCTGCCCAACAGCCTGTGTCTGGGACAGTGTTGTGCTACAGTCGCATGTGGCAAGGGTAGGGACACTGCTGGTGCCACCTGAGTCTTTGCAAAGGGCGCAAGGGTAGGGACACTGCTGGTGCCACCTGTGTCACCTGAGTCTTCGCAAAGGGTAGGAGACCCACTAAGGGGACACGCACACAAGCCTCAGTGGAAGTTGTTTCTCCCTCACAGCGGAGTGCTCAGACAGGGATAACAGCACATCACAGGCTCAGCCCCTCTCCTGCCCTCGGCCACAGAAACTCCTCAAGTTCTGCAAAACCCCACACAGCACAGACACCCAGATGCCGACGTGCTGATGACCAGCCTCCTTCCTGATGACTAGTATTTTTCCTGGGAAGCGTTCAAAGACTAGCTAATCTGTCAGCAGATGAGTCACACTGCCTGCAGATCCAACAGATAATTAATGAATTAAAAACGAGCGGCATGCAATATTGAAGCGTTCTCTTACCAGCCTGAAGCCCAGCTTAGCAGCTGCCCTCTTGCCAAAGCCATCTTTGGGCCACAGCACAAGCCCAGGATCCTGCAGGGCCGTTTCCTCCTAAATACAAGTTGCATTGAACACCGTTAGCAACTGTACTTCAAACAGCCTGTCTCTTTGCTTCTCCACCCCTTCTGACAAAAAACAGCACCGGGTCACACAGCAGGAATTAAAGAGAGGGAGTTTTCTATTCAGAGAGAAGCAATTTTTGTCTTGCAAACTTAGCACGGAAGAAAAAGACAAATGAACATGTTTGCCAGTGAGTTGTCTCACTCGGATAAAAGAAACTTTGGGAGGTGGATGCTATTTAAATCCTTGCTTGGAAAAAAACCCAAACCAAACAACAAACCACCAGCTCTGAGACTTTGATGGTTTAGACCCTTTTCAGCTGTTTCCAGCAGACATCCTCCTCCTCATCACACAGAAACATCTTAATGCAACTCCCTCCTCACACACAAGAATAATCCATTCATTCAGGATGTAAATTATCTATGGGTTAATGCATTTAGGCAGACTTAAGACAGATACATCCCTTCTGGGGAAGGATCCCTCAGGATGTGTCCTGACTAGGACGTGCAACTCCCTCCTCACACACAAGAATAATCAATTCATTCAGGATGTAAATGGGTTAATGCATTTAGGCAGACTTAAAACAGACACATCCCTTCTGGGGAAGGATGTGTCCTGACCAGGACAACCCTTTGGCATCTGTGAACTGCCCCTCCCCACCCCCAGCAACCTGATGCGTTTGAAACTGTCCCAGAGCACCTCCAGGAAGGCAAACACAACAATTACTCTTTCACTAGGTCTCTTTCTATGACAAATACAGTTATGAGATGAGCTGTGTGTCAAGTGTCTCCATAATGGGCTGTCATCCAATCCCTCCTCCTTGTAATCCCTTCTGCTCTTGCTCATCTTTGACCACGCTGACACGCAGGTGCTCTGCAGGCCACCACCAGTAAAATTCCCCTTCATTGTGTGCAGCCTTTCAACTTGTGCTCCATGGCAGCAAAAGGCTGCACACTCAGGTGGCAGCTGCAACAAAGCTACAGCCTTGATTGCCTTAATTATGCTAATCAAGCCATTGGGCTTTTATACCCTCTCCCTGCAGCCCCAGGGACACAGAAGGATATCATCTGACAGGATTGCATTTTACTTCCATAGACCAGCAAGAGGAGAAAATTAGACTGTGACAAGATAAATGCTGATGTTTCTTACCATCATGCAGCTGGTGTGGGTTTGGTGTCGGTGCAGAAACTGACAGAGCAGCCGCTTCTCAGGCAGGTGAGTGGTTTTACCTTTGCTCAACACCAAGCCATGCTCTGGAAGAGAGGAAGGGGACAAGACAGTTAATTCACGTAACAGACTGTCCTTTTACCTTTGTGTGTTTAACGCTGAGCCTCAGAGTCACGCTTCCACAGAGGAAAGATTAATTTCAGACAGGGATAACTTTATCATCACTAGCTCAGCTTCCGCGGCAGCCAAACCTGCACCGCTTTGGGGCCTTCCCAAAAGCTCGGGCCTGTTCCTGCCTCTCTGGTTCGGGTGCTCCTCGCCCAGGCAGCAACGACACTTGGGGACAACTCGCTCCCCGCAGTCTCCTTCTGCTCAGGCGCGATGGGTAACGCTGGCTCGGCGTGAGCCCCGCGGCCTGCAGGGCGCCGTCAGGCCACACCGGGGCTGGGCGCCACCAGCCCGCTGTGTTAAATACTCTCACGCAATTGGGGAAGAATCGGTAAAAGCCCTGCGAGCACAGCATCCGCCAGGCCGCGCTGCCGGAGCCCCGCGGCCTTGCCTCTCCCTACCCACCATGGCGGATGGAGGGGGGGGGAGGGCACCATGACAACCCCACAGGCAGACATCGAGGCCTCGCCGCACCCCTAGAGATACCCGCGGCATCGCGCAAGAGTGTCCCCCTCCCTTTCCCGCCGTTCCCGAGCCGCTCGGGGCCGCCGTGCCCGCGGATGGCTGCCGATGGCGACCCGCCCTACTCACCGCCCTCGGCCCGGCCGCCATGCCGCCCACAAGCCACCACAGAGAGGAAGGAGGGGGCGGGCCGCGCGCGCTCGCTGCGCCCGCCGAGTCTCGCGAGAGGCGTGGGGGCTGATGGGAAGTGTAGTCCCCTCCCTCACGGCGGGACGCGGCCGCCATCGCTGGTCTCCCTGAACCCTGCCGGGCTGGGGAGCGACAGGGGGTGTCTGGGGGACGGGGCTCCTCTGACAGGAGCGGGGCCGGCTCCTTCGCTCCATCCTCTGCTGGAGGAAGGCAAAGAAATAGGTGTGTGTTGACTCTTCCAGAGGCTGCCTGTTGCCTCGCTGGAGAGCTCAGCAGCCACTGCAGGGAAGCCATGGAGGTGGATGGGGTCAGATTCATGGAGTCACTGGGTGGTTCAGGTTGGAAGGGACCTTAAAGATCACCCAGTTCCAACCCCCTGCCTTGGGCAGGGACACCTCCCACCAGAGCAGGTTGCTCAAAGCCCCATCCAGCCTGGCCTTGAACCCCTCCAGGGATGGGGCAGCCACAGCTTCTCTGGGCAACCTGTTCCAGGGTCTCACCACCCTCAGAGTGAAAAATTTCTTCCTAATATCATATCTAAATCTCCCCTCTTCCAGTTTGAAGCCATTACCCCCCGTCCTATCACTACATGGCTTTGTAAAAAATTCCCTGTAGAGCTTTCCCCAGCTTCCCTGTAGACCCCCTTCAGCCCCGGCGACACGGGCTCCATACACAGAGCTTTTGCACCGTCACGCTGCTCGTTAATTGCATTTATTCATTCTTCATGTGTCCTGTTTACTAGGGAGACGCACATGATTGTACTTAGCACGCTAAATGCTTCAAAAGGCTTGGACAAGCATTAGCTCATGTAGGAAGGGGCACACTTCAAAAAGACTAATTAGCTGGAGGTTGGGGATTAGTCAGAGATTAGTTAGTAAATGTATGTGCCGTGCTTTGAATATGTGATGCTTCCAGTATGTGCTATGGTTGTCCTTTGCTGTTAAAAACTCCATGAAATCTATAGGATCCTGTTTAGCTTGTGAACAATAACGAAGTGCAAATGGGACCAAGGGGAGGAAAAATAAGATTAGCCAGTACCCACTTTCTTGCCCCAAAGCTTTATCCACCCTTGTGGTGAAAAGTGACTGAAAAGCAGACAAACCCGATCTGAAAGCAGAGAAGTCTGAGTACAGATGAAAGCCCCGCATTTAACGTGTGTCCCTGAAATTTAACCCCTGAAATGTCTGAGAAGTGGCGGATTCACACTCCCTTGGGGCGTTTGAATCGAAGATGTGCTCATGGAAAGCTGCCTGGTTCCCCACAGCCACAGCAGGAGTGAGCTCCTGACGCTGGTGAACAGTGTGGCCAAACTCCTCCGACTCGGTGGCCTGGACTTGTGTGTCTGTGAAGGCAACACCTCCTGTTACCCCGAAGAGCAGAGCGCTGTGAGCTGGAGGAAGCACTCCCGAGGAGCTGGGTGTCTCTCTGCTCCCCGATTCCCTCCCAGGGCAGGGAGATGGCTCCACACTGCTGCCCACACCATCCCTGCGCGCCAGGAGGCCCCTCTCCAGGCAAGGCAGTCAAGTTCCCAGGGAAAGGCAGTGTGACTTCATGTTTATTTTTAGTGCCTGGATCCTCCTGGCCTTGCTTCTATTTTAGAACCTGGTGGTTATGGTGTTTTTTTTCTCCACAGCATAGATTAAACCCAACTCACAAGTCCTTTGCTCTCCGGAATGGCCCATATTGTTTCTTAAAAGTATCTCAAAACATCAACAGATTGCAATACGCCTTTTTTTCTTCTTTTTTTTTTTTTTTTTTTACAGTGGTGTGAGAAGGCTGTAAAGAGATGCCAACCTGCTGTTAAAAATAAGCAGTTTCCAACATAAGTGGCT